GCGGTTGTACTTCACGCTATCAATAGACTGGCCCTGCCTATATTAATGCAGGCTTGAGTGCTGAGACCTGTGAAGCAGGTTTCGCCTGAGCAGATCTGAGATTTAAAATCTCTCAAACGCGATTTAGCCGTTTAAGCTACAATAACAATTATACAGAGTCGAATAAATGAAACAGAGAAGTCTAATTAAACAAGAATATAACTTACAGTGGTTGCTGCGTCAATAGGTAATGTCGTCACCCGGGTCCAGATGCACACTGAGTTCTTCAGATTTTAAATGCGGTATTTAAATGCTTTTTAAGGTAAAAAATGACTGAGTCACGCGGTTGTACTTCACGCTATCAATAGACTGGCCCTGCCTATATTAATGCAGGCTTGAGTGCTGAGACCTGTGAAGCAGGTTTCGCCTGAGTAGATCTGAGATTTAAAATCTCTCAAACGCGATTTAGCCGTTTAAGCTACAATAACAATTATACAGAGTCGAATAAATGAAACAGAGAAGTCTAATTAAACAAGAATATAACTTACAGTGGTTGCTGCGTCAATAGGTAATGTCGTCACCGGGTCCAGATGCACACTGAGTTCATCAGATTTTAAATGCGGTATTTAAATGCTTTTTAAGGTAAAAAATTACTGAGTCACGCGGTTGTACTTCACGCTATCAATAGACTGGCCCTGCCTATATTAATGCAGGCTTGAGTGCTGAGACCTGTGAAGCAGGTTTCGCCTGAGCAGATCTGAGATTTAAAATCTCTCAAACGCGATTTAGCCGTTTAAGCTACAATAACAATTATACAGAGTCGAATAAATGAAACAGAGAAGTCTAATTAAACAAGAATATAACTTACAGTGGTTGCTGCGTCAATAATGTCGTCACCGGGTCCAGATGCACACTGAGTTCATCAGATTTTAAATGCGGTATTTAAATGATTTTTAAGGTAAAAAATGACTGAGTCACGCGGTTGTACTTCACGCTATCAATAGACTGGCCCTGCCTATATTAATGCAGGCTTGAGTGCTGAGACCTGTGAAGCAGGTTTCGCCTGAGCAGATCTGAGATTTAAAATCTCTCAAACGCGATTTAGCCGTTTAAGCTACAATAACAATTATACAGAGTCGAATAAATGAAACAGAGAAGTCTAATTAAACAAGAATATAACTTACAGTGGTTGCTGCGTCAATAGGTAATGTCGTCACCGGGTCCAGATGCACACTGTAGACAGCCAAGCCCCCTCCTGTGTTCGCAGTGGCGTTTTTAAATGTACAAAAGTGGTGGGGCACAAAAAACGTAGATGTCTATATATAAGCTTCTGCAGTGAGGTTCATGGCTGGTGAGGCACTGGCACTGACTCTTCAGGTTTACAAATATTATATTTTGACCTAAATCAAAATATAATATTATTTTCAAAAGATTTTTTTGTCTGATGCTTCGATTAATTTTAAACAGACAGTTCAACAAAAGGATACCCAAAAAATGTAATTTTATCATTTAAATATTGAATTGTTCTCTCTTAGTAAGATCCCATTTTCAATACAATTGCGGTCTTACCTTGACTTGAAGATGAAGTCCATTTGCCTATCCTTCTGGACAAAAATCTCTATTACTTTTTTGTAAAAGTCCTCCTTATCTTCTTGTAGTTTCAAAAGTCTATCATAAATCTAATCGATAGATTTAAGATTAGAAAATTATAACAGTAGGGTAGACATGTGGATATTATCCGGCTGAACAAAACGTGCATTTATCTAACAGGTACGTTTCCCACAGATCTTATTTTGAGCTATTTTCTAAAATCCTATGGAGAAATCTCATTGCTTTTCTGTGGAGGGAAGCCATGCGCAGCTTACTTCCTGGTTTTAGGATGCGTCTCTCTCCTCCTCTTCACACACCACACTTTTTGCGGCACACGTACTTAGCCAATCAGCTCTGAATTATGTGAGATGACGTATGGTGGGGATGGCAGCTCTATGGCCCTATGGTCATTATTTTTTTGCCACACACATTAAATAGGACAATACTCTGAGCATGTGCAGTGTAGTTTTTACAGTCACCATTGACTTAGACAATGAGAGGGAGGGGCATGATCGGGTTTTGTCCCACATGGCTCTAAACAGCTCAATAGGCACACACTGTAGACACTCATTAGAAGAACACAGACTAAAACAGCAATGTACAGACGAATCAGATGATTAAACATGATCTTAAAATATATTTTATATATTTTGTAATTTATTTTTTGCATTTTGTTGTAATCATTATTTGTAATACTTTCTGCTCACACTAGGTGGGGCTGTGCCCCACCTGTCCCTAGTCGCCACTGTGTGTTCGGTGAAGCATTATATGCTTACAAATCCAATGTAGGATATAAACACGACTAAACTGCAATGATAGCAAAGCTGTGGCTTGAGTTTTTGGGGTAAAGGGTTAGGGTTGACAGCCCAACGATCGTCTGAGGAAGATGACAAATGTAAATTAAACATTGTTGAGAAAATGCTGCATCTCTTGCATTTATTGACAAAGAGGAGCCTTATTGTTTACCTTTTTAATATCATTTTTTGTAATTTTCAATTGCTTGGTTTTCGTGAAATTAGCCTGTTTTCCTATTAAAGTGTAACAGATTGATGCATCTCCACAGATCCTCTTAAAGGCTTCTGAATCCCCCCCATTATAGTTAAAAAACTGTCAAAACTAGGGCCCCCAAACAGCATCTTACATAGGGCCCCCAAAAAGCTAGAAACGGCCCTGCGTCCACGAGTAACGTTTCCACGTCAGGTATGTTATGTATGCTAGCAGCAACACACCGAGTTAACTACATTATACAAACATGGGTTAATGATTAGAGGTAACTGAGTTATTTATTTAGTTAAAGTTTCAGCTATTCTGTTTACAGTTCTGTCATCACATTATTTAATATGATTTGTTAAAACACTGTTGTTTCTTTTGATGTGAAATATTATGTATTTAATTTAAATAAAAATTGATTTAGTTTTGTTCACAATTTGTTTAGTTAGTTTACCTTGTTTTTTCTCTCCAAAATAACCGATAAGAATATACCGTTAAAAGACCGGACCGATAAGCGGTATCGATAAAAGTAGTATACCGTTAAAACCTTAACGATACGATACCCATCCCTACTCCTGGTACTAGGGTTAAATGCAGATAACAAATGTCACTGTGTGTGCTGTGTGCTCTGCATGTGAGACCATTAAAGAGGGTCTCATCCCTCCCAATTCAATCAATTCAATCTTTAGTAAAAATACATTTTTTCTTGATTATTTCCAAAATTAGTAAAAGCAAATATTGAAATGGCTTTGTAAATGTCGCTTGACTATAGTTTCATTTTACAACAGCAGATAATGTTCTGATCTCGTAAATCCATGTCTGCTCAAGATGCTTGTTGTTGTCAAAATGAAATAAATCAATGATCAAGAATACTGCTGCAATCCATTAACTTCCCATAAGCTTTGCTGCTGTCATAATAATTAGGGTCTATTCCGAAATAAACTGAGCTTGTATGATAATGTAGGTTACATTATCATATTATAGAAAATAGGAGTCGGGGACCCTATCGAAGTGTTCTTACTGCTTTTAAATCCAGGCTGAAGAAATTGATATATTACAATTGTGCACAAGGTTTAGGTGTCCGGGACCCTAAGAAGTGTTATAAAAAATACATAGGAGTCGGGGACCCTATCGAAGTGTTAAAAATAGGAGTCGGGGACCCTATCGAAGTGTTAAAAATAGGAGTCGGGGACCCTATCGAAGTGTTAAAAATAGGAGTCGGGGACCCTATCGAAGTGTTAAAAATAGGAGTCGGGGACCCTATTGGAAAGGAGAAAAAATAAGAATAGGGCAAGAAATTAGTGTTAAGAGCAAAGGATCTTAAACTGCACTGTAACTTTTATTCATGTATTTTTTCTTTTAATGTTTATTTTATTATCTTTGTTTTTAAATGCCATTTTCTGAATGTCTTTCATTTTTGTAGAGCACTTTGAATTGCCTTGTGTTGAAAGGTGCTATATAAATAAACTTGCCTTGTGTACTTTGTCATAGCTTACACACATACCTACAGTTTGCAGTTCAATTATTAAAGTCTTAGCTCCTGCAAAATGAGTCACACCCTTAAAGCTGACACTTTCTTAGAGTACTTGAAGGATAGTTTAAAAATACTGCAATACTAACTTTCCACTAAAAAGTAACAAATAAATAAAGGGTACATTGTATTGTTTTCATTCCTCATCATCTTCTTCATACACACTAACAGCTCTTGATGGGTAGATCTCGTGTTAATGTGATGTACCCCTCAGATATCCTGGATTTATAGAGGTTTCAGTGAAGCTTGCAGTGTGACAGGCCATCAAGTGTTAGTCGTGAAATCACTGTAAAGTTGGCTACATGTATTTTTTTAGTGAGTTAAGGCCTTAAAACAACTTACTTATTTGATTAAATGATTTAAATAATGTCTAAAAAGTAGTTTATAGTGAATATTTTGTCGAAAAACCCCACTGTATTCAATTATTTTAATCCCTTGAGTGAGATTAATTAATTTGGGCATTGAGGTTAATTAAATATACGGTTTGAACAAGTCTCAGAGGGAACTTAAACATATATCATTTAATATAATAATAAAAAAAATTATAATAATAAAATAATGATTATAATACAAACATAATATAATACTATTCATAATAATAATAATATTCAGGTTAATAACTTTAATAAAAACAATTATCCTGTAGTAATAATAATAATGACATAAGCTCTAAACATGGGTGTGTAATATGATTAATAATAATGTAAACAAATTGTACATTGTTCTCACATTTGTACATGTCCTTAAACAACCCAAAAACCGACATGTATGTACTGTTGCTCCATTAACCACCATCGGAGGACCCGTGTTGACAGCACACATGGATCATGACCATAGACTGTATATATAGATAATGACATGGATGTGTAATAAGAACACTCCCCCCCAAAAACCAAGCAAGCAGTATTACCGGTGTTCCGCATTAACTGGTTCCCCGATCAACTGGTTGACAGATGTGGAGGCGTGGCCTTCGACTGAAATACACATTTCGATCGCTTCTTCTGTCGTTTACATCAATCTTTTGGTATATTTGGCTGGATAGGAACACGTTGATGCACATTCAGTACCAGTGTGTGAGGTTGTGGTTACGATGGCGATATCCGGACGCGAACAGCGAGGACTACAAAAAGAAAAACGAGTTGACTGGGGATGTCTGTTCAAAACATTGCGAGCTCCAATAAATCATTTAAACCAGCTATTGTTGCCAGACTTATTTCTGAATATCGTTCTTAATGTGATACCAAGTCCATCTGAGACCTGTGTACACCTTCAGACAGCCTCCCAGTGAAGCACACGTTGTTTACTCACAGTTTGAAAGCAGCGTGGAGAAGTCTTCAGCTGTGTTAAGTTGTGATCCTCTCGAACAAATCCTTAAAACCAGCTATTGTTGCCCAACTTATCACTGAATATCATTCCTAATGTGATACCAAGTCCATCTGAGACATGTGTACACCTTCAGACAGCCTCCCAGTGAAGCGTACGTTGTTAACTCAGAGCTTGAAAGCAGCGTGGAGAAGTTTTCAGCTGTGTTAAACTGTGATCCTCTCAGGTAAACTGTGATTCGCTCAGGGTCAACTGGGATCCACCCATGGGAAAATGGGATCCGCCCAGGTTAAACTGTGTTACGACTTCTGTGTGGCTATCTACCAGCGACCATGATTTATGTAAACGACAGAAGAAGCGATCGAAATGTGTATTTCAGTCGAAGGTCACGCCTCCACATCTGTCAACCAGTTGATCGGGGAACCAGTTAATCCGGAACACCGGAAGCCAAGCAAGAACCTCGCGCCTCAGAAACTCACAGCACCACCGGGAGACCCAAAGAGAGACACGAGGACCCGGTCCAGACCCTCAGGTGAGCTCCGTTCTTATTACCTGTTGTTACCTAAACGTGGTGTTTTTCTGAATGGGGCTTCTGAATGGGGAACAGTCTAAAGACACGTGGTAGTGGGTACTTTCACTCTATGAACGCGCCAGAAAGAGAGGAAGGCGCCAGAAAGAGAGGAAGGCGGGTAAATTGAATTGAATGAAGTTATTCTTAGTTTGAATCTAACATGTTAGGCTTCTATAACCGGATTTACTATATGTAATATGCACACTAACCGACCATATGTTGAGATAAACGTGACTTTTCTGTCTGCTTTTATTTTTTAGATTTGACTTATTCTGTTCAGAAACACTGCTGCTGTTCAAAAGATTAATAATAACAACGATTATAAACAAGCCAGATTTAATTTATTATAAAATAGCGTGTGGGTTGTTTCGTTTACTGTAGGCTATACATAGTAGGAGTCGATGTTGACATAAACAGACATCATAATCTAAAAAGTTGATTTCGTATTTTATGTGTGTAGAAAAAAATCGATACTGTCGCAATCGCTCTTGTTTATCTGTATTTGTTTTAAACACATGGTTATAACAATAATGACCAAATTATAAGTCATAATATAATGAGACAATGTTTATATTAGATACAATTAAGTCATTATCTCAACCTTTTATGTATACGTCTCGAGCTATCAAACAAAAATCACTCACGTGTATATTAGTTTGCAGCTTTGATCACAGAGCTTTGACAGAAATATAACGTTTTTTAATGATGCTCATCACTTATCTGTCACAAATCATTAATACTAATATAGCCGAACTGTCAGTTGGAGCCCAAATCGCACGAAAAGTATTCCGCATGTTATAACCATAGACTGTATGTCATAACAAGCCATCCAGATTACATTTAGCCGCCAAATAGAAGAGAAATTTGGCGGAATTAAACAATATGGTCTAGCTGCGGCCGCGGCCAGTACACGGCGGTACACGATGGTACACGACACGCCCACCTGACACTACGGTGGCTGAGAGATATGACAGATGAAAAGCGAATTGACGACAACTACGCCGCCTACGGTGGAGACCGTACAGGGCATGTTATTGTAGCATTTTAAGCAACTAAATTAATAACCTATCCGTTTTAAGCAACTATTAGGCGTTTGAAGCCACTATTAGGCAAATAAATTAATAACCTATCCGTTTTAAGCCACTATTAGGCAAATAAATTAATAACCTATCCGTTTTAAGCAACTATTAGGCAAATCAATTAATAACCTATCCGTTTTAAGCAACTATTAGGCGTTTGAAGCCACTATTAGGCAAATAAATTAATAACCTATCCGTTTTAAGCCACTATTAGGCAAATAAATTAATAACCTATCCGTTTTAAGCAACTATTAGGCAAATCAATTAATAACCTATCCGTTTGAGAACCCCTTGGAACCCCTTATCCCATTTTGATGGTTGACATCTCATTTGAACAGTGAAAGCCAGAATATTGTAAAAATGCTTACCAATGATGTATTAATAATAGGATATATATAGCGCCTTTCATGAGACCCAAGGTCCCTTTAAAAAGAAGAACAGGAGTAGAAACAAACATAACAAAAGGCAGTCAGACAAAACAACAAATAGATTTGGGGCCAAAGGCCTTGGCAGACAGATGGGACTTGAGGGCCCTTTTGAAGGCATCAAGCGTGGGGATGTTGCAGATCTCCGCAGGGAGAGCGTTCCAGAGAGTGGGGGCTGCCATACTGAAGGCTCTGTCCCCGAAGGATCGCAGGTTGGTGCGGGGGGCCAGAGTCTGAAGACCGCAGGTTCCGGGGTAGAGCATGTGGGAATTGTATTGATTGAGCCAGTGTTTCATCGTGTACTTTCAACTGCAGTATATGGTCAGGCAAGTTCAGCATTCACTGTGATGTATATAAAATATGACACTGATACCGTTTTCCTCAATGAACATTTATTGAACAGAACATCAAATGGAAAATCAGAGCTGGTCAACTTAAAAAAATATTGAATAAATAATAAACTCCTCGGAATCTTTCACAAGTCCTTCAGCCTTTGGTGCGCTTCCTCACTCATGTTCTTGGCGAGGTCATGAGAACAAAGTTCCATCTTACTGATAAGACTAGATGGTATAAAGAAGTAATATGTAATATTATAAAATCACATGCATCAGGGGTTGTACACTTCAATGTGTCCATTCACTAACCGACTCTTTAGGAAGGAAGCTGTAAGGCCTCTTGTTATAGGAGTGGTCCTCATCAGTGTCCAGGGGCATCTGTAGACAGTCAACCATTATTTTGACAGTGCTTTACATGCACGGTTTAACTCCTCCAAAAATGATCCAGGCTCGATTCAGAATGACACAGTACCACACAAAACAAATGTTGCATGTACCATAAGTTCTATGTAGTATGTGTTTTAGGAGTAGTAACCCATTCTGAAACAGGCACACAGGGTCATAGATACGTTGAGCGATACACTGACCATGGTGCTGCTTGCATGCGTCCTTTTACGACTGATCCTGAATGTACGTGGGACATTGTCGCTAAGGGTCGCCCTGCCTTCCTCACTATAGTGAGCAAACCTCTTTCCATACCTGCAATTAAGACACATTTTCTTCACCAGAAGGTTGAATTTTAGAGCCAGGTGTTCCCCCCCAAATCTTCTTGATAATACAATTACACATTCAAATGTTTTTGTAGCACTGCAGCATACCCTTCCAGTCCAAAGTTTTCCACCAGGATAACACACCACCACCTTCTCAGGAGAGACATGTCATGTTAAAGAAAGAGCATCAATTTTCATTAAGTTTGTTATAGCATTTTAATGTGACTTCTTTCCTTAATACTTACAATGCTGAAGTCAAAGCTGGCCTCCATGGCAAAATACCAGGCATACTGTAATGAGAATTTTATTAGCACATGCAAGACATAATGTACACGTGACGGCTGGGTGTGACCCGGTCCTTTCACAAAATGGACACTGGAAGGTGTCCGAGTCCAATTTGTTGAGCTCTGGGCGTGCTCCATCACGGAGTGTTGTGTTGTTTGTCTATAGGTGAATAAAATAGAATACAATTTAAGTGACTTTAATATTGGAAATAGTTAACTCCTTAAACAAGCAGCAATGGACTGGCCTGTATAATCCTATGGGACAAAGCTGGTCATACTTCCTCACTTTCAGAAGGTAACCCTTTAATGCACAAAACAACCTCTAGATTTCACTGTGGTTCGAACAGAAAGCCCTTCAGCTAGTTTAAATATCAGGCCTACAGCATAAACCCCATCTAAAAACAGAGGCTCTGTCCTAATTACCTGATTGCATCCACCTGGGTTACTTGGCTCTACCCAATAACTACCATTTAACTTTAAACCACACTTAAAATAATAATTATACATATTTACATGTCTACAGTATAAGAGCTAATACATGTTTTAAATAAAAAACATTCAAATGTGAAAGACACCTTCAATTCATATTTAAAACTTACATAAAATCAGATTCTTGTAAAAATTAGAGTACATGCATGTTCAGTTAGCATATATGCTAAGTTAACTGAACGTCGAGCATGTCAAGCTAAGATATACAAATAAACACAATTACACTGCGCTAAACAGCCACATCGACAAACAAACGAGAACCTAAATAGTATGTAATTATATCTAAAACCACAATACGTTAAGTACCTGTACTCGGTGCGCCATGTTGTTTGTTGTCTGTAAACCTCACGTGTTGGGCGTGCTCTCTTCTGACCATATTTGGAAGTACAACTTTTCGCGGCCGCAGCTAGACCCTTCTCAGCCACCGTAGTGTCGTGTCAGGTGGGCGTGTCAGGTGGGCGTGTCGTGTACCATCGTGTACTGGCCGCGGCCGCAGCTAGACCCTTCTCGAATTAAAGCTGGTTCCTCCATGTGGAGTTTACGGGAAGTGACGTAGTGCAACGTGCCGCGTCACTTCCGTCACTACCATAGACTATATGGTCACTACCCAAACTGACTCTTTTAAGTAAATGAAATAGTTAATAGTAAGATGTATAGGACTATAAACTAATATTATCGTTTTTTATTTATATTAATTTATTTTCTAGTTTTCTTTCTTGTAATTTGTATTATTCTTATTATTAAACCATGTTGTTACTGTTTTATTTAATATATAGGTTTCAATTTTGTATTGTATTGATTCATGTTGTCTTATGCCTTCCTTTGTTTTACCGAGAGGGATCAATATTTGTTGTTATTATTATTGTTTTCCTATCACACCTTTTACCTCCTTGTGTCGCTTGAACGGTTATATATTTGTTGTCAGTGCATTCAAAATCTACATTATTATTATTTTACTTAACTCAAAGTATAAGATCATAGTGAAAAGAAGAGTAAAACAAATACAATTTCACATACAAAACACATCAGTTTTACAATATGATGCAATGCTACATACAATCTGTCTAACAATGTGTTTTTAAAATAAATGCAGCAGATTAAAACAGTCATTATGTATCAGTAATACTAATATATACTAGAAATATCTTACTATATGCTAAATGCGTCTCTCACTTCAACAATCCGTACTGTAAAAATAATAATGCAGCTTGTAAAATGGAGTAGTTTTAGATATTGTTACTGCAAAGGTTAGCATTGGTATTTCTTTTAGGTCTAATAATCATTTGACGCACCACCATGGATGCTAAAGACTATAGTAAATGAGTCAGTTGATGAAAGCCTGTCCTGTAAGTTTAATCACGTGCTCCTGGCTGTTTATTTAAAGGCTTCTCTTGACTTTAGTGCAGGAACGTGACAGAAGCAACAGGATGACGATGAGTCCCCCCGCAGATCGGTGAGTTTGAGGCTTTGTTTTTACTTTTGGATATATAAACTAAATGTGTAAAGATCGGGGTTGTAAAAGTGTTTTTGTTTCCGCAGCGGCCAGGCTGTAGGCCTCATCATCTTCGTGCTCGGTTTGGGAACTCTGCTGCCGTGGAACTTCTTCCTGACGGCCTCAGAGGTTTCTACAACTCCTTCTTCATGATAAACATTGAGGGATTACTTAGCAAAAACACATACAAAAACAACTTTACTTTGCACTCAAGGGAATATCAATCACTGGGGTTGGTCAATTAATTGTAAGAAAGACTTGTTTTTTTTGCAAATCAACACAAATTGAGCTTCATGTGTGCCAGAAATCTGAATTAACTTGGTGTTAAAAAGGTCCTTTCCATTTTCCTCACGATCCAAGGTCTTTAAATGTTTTGTTTTATCAGTTCAAAACCCATAATGATGCAGTTTAATTTGAAATGAAATATTTAAAAAGCAGGAATTCTCCATATTTCAGAGGCTGACATCAGACTTATTTGTAATTTTTGCATGGAAACTAAATTAAAAATGATGAAATAATCGAGTTACGACACACAGTTTCCCACTCTCTCATTATGTTTTAAAATAAAATATGTTAAATCATTCTTTGTTTCCTCTTTGATAAAGTACTTCAACCAGCGCCTCAAATCAAACATCACCTCCAATGGCTCCTCAGGCGTCGCTGCTAAAGACTACAACTACGACAGCTGGATGGCCTTGCTCTCCCAGCTGCCCCTGCTGCTGTTCACGCTGCTCAACTCCTTCCTGCATCACTGGTGAGCTCCTGCAGCAGATTCATTTACATGAGGCTGGAGCCTGGACAGGTATAAACATGTACATGTCAGCCAGGAGGGTTGAGCTATAGGTAGTCATTGTTCAGTGTTGGAAGAAGTACTCAGATCATGTACTCAAGTGGTTGGAAAAAGTCCGGCATTTCAAATATTACTTTGTAAAAAAGTATTAGCATCCAAATATACTTAAAAGACCAAATACTCGTTATGTTTAAAAGCCCATTTCAGAATCATATATATTCAGGGGGTCCGCGAGGCCTTAAAGTTATTAAAAGTTGATAAATGAATTTAGTGAAAATTAAGGCTATTAAACGGCATTTTCCAAGGTATTACATTTTGTAGCTTGTTTTCATTAAGTATATAAAGTGTCCAAAGAGGTTGTGTTCTACAGTCTGCCTGAATGTAATCATGGCGTAGGTGTGTAGTGTGATTCTGTGTAGTTTATTTATGGCATCCCGTTGGATGTGACGTCATCTGAACAGGACATCGCACGCTCACTGCTTGATAGCGCGAATGTCCGTTTACGCCGGTTGTTAAACAACATCGTTATGGGGAAATGCAAATCAATCATCACTCCTCTCTGGTCACTTTCACTTTTCCATGGTGCTGTGAGAGGACATCGCTGTATTCGCCTGCAAGTTACATCCGCAGGGAGATTCGGTTCAATTCCATCACATAATGTAACGCAGTAACGCACCCATTTAAATCACAGTAACTATAACGGCGTTACTGAATGGGAATAGGTAACTAGTAACGCTATTAGTTACCGCAAAAAGTAGTTGCGTTACAGTAACGCGTTAGTCCCAACACTGTTCATATCACACTGATATCACATCCATCGATCATATAATATCACAATATTTCCTTATCTGAGTCAGCTTCTCGAGCCGTATCTGGCCGTGCAACACTTAGTTACATTGTCTCATATACTGTATGGGGCGTATTATTTTAAGCAACACATTAAGTTGACGAAACACTCAACTCAAATGTAATTAAAGTCAGATCCCCTCGTGTTTTAGATGGGGCAGTATCATAAAACTGTTTTCAAACACTCTGTAGTTTATTTTTTAACCAGTAGTTATATTCACCTTGCAGGTGCAACTATGTGGCTTGTATCCTGGATTATATGTTTAAGTCATCATGGATGTTCAAAGTTCATATTTGTCTAATATTAGTTTACTTTTCATTAATGAAGTATGATGCTGCGCTGTCAGTACACTTGTCCCTGTTTGTGATTGGTCAAATGTAGCTAACTCCGCCCCTTTCACATGAACGCGTTCTCAGCTGGAGAGAGAAACCCTGGCTTGATTTACCGAGTTGATAACCAGCGTCGTAGGACCGTTTAGCGAGATCGCGTTTGTTAGGGTTAGTTAAGATAACTCAAGCATATCCAGGGTCTGTTGAACTGGCTTCGTGGTACAGGGCACAGGTGGCTGCATAGCAGCGCTAATGTCAAAGACACACACATTATACATTATATTTTTATTTTACCAGGATGCAGTTACACAAATATTTGGGAAGGCTTAGCCTTCCCTTGCCTACAGCACCCGCCGCCCCTGCTGTGGAGGGTATGAGGGAATGAGTAGCAGGTGAAGGGAATGAGCTGATTGCAAGAGCTGGGAGGAAGGCAGGATCTGAAAGGACAGGAGAGTTTATTGATATGCAAAACCTATGAATGTGTTGAACTTGTGACCGAAGTATAATGTAGGATAAACTGAGAACGTTAGTACAATTACCTCAAAACAGACTTATGTACAGTATTTGAGTAAATGTACTTTATTCCTACATCCCACCATTGTCATTTTTATATCTCACACTGCAGTAATATGTAGTAAGACTCTTACCTTCTGGAGTCCACATCTGATTTCCCCCTTAGTGACAGTAACGTTTATTTTGTCCTATGAATGAACTGTTGAGGTCTCCTCTCTTGTCTCTCTGCAGGGTGAAGCCTCGTCTCCGTGTCGCCTTCAGTTTCATCGTCATCTTCCTCCTCTTCTCCCTCAACGCCGCTCTGGTTCGAGTCCCGATGCAGCCGGACACCTTCTTCTCCGTCACCATGGCCACCATCTGGTTCATCAACAGTAGGTCATATTATTATTTAGTAAAATAATGGATTCTTGTTCGTATAAATGAATAAATAATGGTCGATATGTATCAACTCTATCAGATCTTTCATGTATTATAATGAAAAAACAAGTCAAATGATCAATTAGTTTGAAAATGTAAAGGTCTCTCTCTATAATATTACTCTGATGCAAAGATTTTAATGATGTTTGTGTGTATGTGTGTGTGTGTGTGTGTGTGTGTGTGTGTGTGTGTGTGTGTGTGTGTGTGTGTGTGTGTGTGTGTGTGTCTCTCTCTCTGTGTGTGTGTCTGTGTGTCTGTGTGTGCGCAGTGGCCAGTGCGGTGCTGCAGGGCTCTCTGTTCGGGGTGGTGGGTCGGTTCCCCTCTCGGTACAGCACTCTGTTTATGAGCGGTCAGGGTCTGGCCGGACTCTTCGCTGCTCTCGCCATGCTCTTCTCCATCTTAAGTGAGTAACATCCACACCTAACACATACTGCATATTTATATGTCGGAAAACTCCATGTGACAAGTTGCCATTTTCCCATGACTCGTGAGATTGCTACAAAATGCATAACATACTTTAGAACTCGAAAACATCCAATCAATGCTTTTTATAATATATAGATTTGTAACATATGATTTATTATTAATATGAAGACATTTTTAGTTTTTTTGTTGAATATACAAATATTACCAAGAATGTGGATAAATACTGTATTATAACAATATACGGTATTCTGTTTTTCACATTTGTTATTTTTTAATCTGTTCGAAATAAAGACTGAAAGAAAGAAACATAACGCTTCAGACGTATTCACTCAATCCTAAATAATGGAAACTGCTGTTGACTTTTTGATAGGTGCACAAAGAAATACAAATGAAATCTCAAAACATGAGTGAATGTAAGGTTAAGGTTAAGTGCAATCATTTCATTCATTATATTTTTCTCATTACATTTTATATAATTTTCTCTTGATTTCATTTTCATTACTTTTGTTATTGATTAATGTCGTCCATACATTAGCACGATACAAACTAATCGGCTCATAAAGTATGAAGATGAAGAATATGCTACGAAATAGCATCATATATTAATGCCTTTATTTTACATGAGGCGAAAGAACTTACAAAAAGTAATAATAAGTAACTTTGTTTTTGCGATTTACCTTTGATGAATCTGCCGGTAATTTTAACAGTTAATCATGTGGTCTATAAAGTGTCAGATAATATAAAAAATGCCATCAGAAATTTCCCAAAACAATTACTCTTCACTTTCGAGAAGCATCACGCCTCATAATGTGTTGTTCTGCATGTAAACAGATACGAGCTCTGAGGCTGACGCAGACAGGAGCTCGGCAGCGTTGGGATATTTCATCACTCCCTGTGTGGCGACTCTGGGGACTCTGCTGTGTTTCCTGCTGCTGCCATACCTGGTGAGGACACACACACACACACACACACACACACACACACACACACATAAACACCTAAATACCCTGATGCTACTGTCAATTCTACAAATGAAAATGATGAATCTCTCCCTGAAATCATTTGAAGGGGCACATCCTGCTGATGTTCAGGTTCAGGTTCATATCAATATCAATACTTCATTCTTCTCATACTCCCTGTGCTGCAGCTCCTCTTTTCACCCTCTGTCTGAAACCAGAGCCCAGTCTGCTCTGATTGGTTAGCTGGCCGGCTCTGTTGTGATTGATCAACCGCATAGGGATGTCCCGACCCTTAGCCTATCACGTACAATGTGTTGGAGCGCTAGCCAATAGAAGCGTGAGTGTTACATGGTGATGTCACTTTCACAGAAGTAACATTTGAGAAAATAAAGGGCTTAATGTCACATAATAAATTAATCAGCCGAATCATTACAACTATTGATGAGTACCTTTCTTTTAATTTAAAGGCTTTAGAAGAAACCCTACATACTCTCCGAATTTCTGAAAGATTATATTTTAGTACTCATTATAATCTCCTGACGATGTCGACTCTCCTCTGCAGGAATTTGCTCGTTTTTACCTGAACAAACATCAGTCGCAGAGCGTGGAGGCGACACTGGAGCTGTGCGGCCCCACAGGTCGGTTCCTACACTCTCACTCTGCAACATAATCATGTCAGGGATTTATATTATTATTTTCAAGATGTTTAAGTCAATGTACACAACTTGAATATCTTCATATATCCATTTCTACTTTTAATGTTTTTTCAATTGGGCTTGACTATAAAATACCATCCATCTTCTACCGCTTGTTAAATACCAATTTAATTAATTAAATGTTGCATTTAGAAATGGCTTAAGTTAAATGTAGCTTGGAAGATAGGAAACATCTGTCCAATAAATAGCAAATAAGTATATAAACAGGAAGTCACTGATGGAAAGGAAAGCTTTTATTTATATTGTACATTGTACTCATGAAAGGGCATCAAAATAGTTTAGCATCAGCACAAACACTTAAAAACAAGCAACAAATGAAACAGAAATCAAGACGATGTCTGATAAGATTTACATTTTAATGTTGACTCCCACTTACTCGGCTAAGCTTGAATTTACAAACAGCTATTAACGCTGGCTGAGTCACTGACACATTTTCATTTATTTCCTTTCAAAAGACAAGAAAGTGTTAGAAAACGGCTCCAAACACCAGGAGGCCAACGGGAAGCTCTTCAGAGAGCCGGAGGGGGATCAGGAGCGTTCGTCCGTCCTGCAAGTCTTCAAAAAGGTGAGTTTTTGTATTTATTTAACACGTTGTTGTCCAGGTGCTAAAAGACAGCTGGTTAAGTCTGGATCCATTTTGGATATATATCTTTAAATGTGCCTTTTATTAAAAAAAATGTATTTAGTTTGCAATAATATAAAACAGGAAATTCAAAGCTTTTTTGTAATGCATCATTTAGCATAGTACAGGACTGCATTTTGTCTTTTATTCAATCTCATGTCCTTCTGACTTTAAAGCCTCTTGTCATTTATTTATATACAGTTGCAAGAAAAAGTACGTGAACCCTTTGGAATGACCTGGATTTCTGCATAAGTCGGTCATAAAATGTGTTCTGATCTTCATCTAAGTCACAACAATAGACAAACACAGTCTGCTTAAGAGATACCACACAAACAATTATATGTTTTTATTGAACACACCATGTAAACATTCACAGTGCAGGGTGGACCCCTAGGCTAAAGACTTCTTCAAGAGCTAATTGGAGTCAGGAGTCAGCCAACCTGGAGTCCAATCAATGAGACGAGATTGGAGGTGTTGGTTAAAGCTGCTCTGCCCTATAAAAAATACACACCAGTTTTGAATTTGCTATTCTTAAGAAGCATTTCCAGATGTGAACCATGCCTCGCACAAAAGAGCTCTCAGAAGACCTACGATTAAGAATGGTTGACTTGCATAAAGCTGGAAAGGGTTACAAAAGTATCTCTAAAAGCCTTGATGTTCATCAGTCCACGGTAAGACACATTGTCTATACATGGAGAGAGTTCAGCACTGTTGCTACTCTCCCTAGGAGTGGCCGTCCTGTAAAGATGACTGCAAGAGCACAGCGCAGAATGCTCAATGAGGTGAAGAAGAATCCTAGAGTGTCAGCTAGAGACTTAAAGAAATCTCTGGCACATGCTAACATCTCTGTTGACGAATCTACGATACGTAAAACACTGAACAAGAATGGAGTTCATGGGAGGACACCACGGAGGACACCACGGAGGAAGCCACTGCTGTCCAGAGAAAACATTGCTGCACGTTTGAAGTTTGCAAAAGAGCACCTGGATGTTCCACAGCACTACTGGCAACATATTCTGTGGACAGATGAAACCAAAGTTGAGTTGTTTGGAAGGAACAACGCTAGGTGTGGAGAATCCAAAGGGTTCACATACTTTTTCTTGCAACTGTATATATTATATATGTTTAAAAATGTATCCATCGTTGAAATGCTGTTCATCCATTTGTTTTCCTAATCCTTACTATTAGTATAATTAGTATTCTTGTATATTAGCATTTCACTGCCCTCTTTACAAATATGAGTATCTTACAAATAAATGTGTGTGTGTCCTGCAGATCTGGCTGATGGCTATGTGTGTGACGTGTGTGTTTGCCGTCACACTCTCAGTGTTTCCTGTCATCACACTCCGAGTCAGGACCGTCTACCAAGACAACTCGGTCTGGGGTGAGACACAACATCTTTATCTCTGTTCACGTCAGGGATGGATCGATATGATTATTGAATGTCAGCTGACAATCGTAATTTTACCTCTCTTAAAACCCTAAGAGATTCATAATATAGTTTTAAAGAGTCCTCTCCTGCTGATGTTCAGGTGTATATCAGTATGTAGTGTCTCTACTTTAAAGAGTCCTCTGCTGCTGATGACCAGGTGTATATCAGTATGTAGTGTCTCTACTTTAAAGAGTCCTCTCCTGCTGATGTTCAGGTGTATATCAGTATGTAGTGTCTCTACTTTAAAGAGTCCTCTCCTGCTGATGTTCAGGTGTATATCAGTATGTAGTGTCTCTACTTTAAAGAGTCCTCTCCTGCTGATGTTCAGGTGTATATCAGTATGTAGTGTCTCTACTTTAAAGAGTCCTCTCCTGCTGATGTTCAGGTGTATATCAGTATGTAGTGACTCTACTTTAAAGAGTCCTCTCCTGCTGATGTTCAGGTGTATATCAGTGTGTAGTGTCTCTACTTTAAAGAGTCCTCTCCTGCTGATGTTCAGGTGTATATTAGTATGTAGTGTCTCTACTTTAAAGAGTCCTCTCCTGCTGATGTTCAGGTGTATATCAGTATGTAGTGTCTCTACTTTAAAGAGTCCTCTCCTGCTGATGTTCAGGTGTATATCAGTATGTAGTGTCTCTACTTTAAAGAGTCCTCTCCTGCTGATGTTCAGGTGTATATCAGTATGTAGTGTCTCTACTTTAAAGAGTCCTCTCCTGCTGATGTGCAGGTGTATATCAGTATGTAGTGTCTCTACTTTAAAGAGTCCTCTCCTGCTGATGTTCAGGTGTATATCAGTATGTAGTGTCTCTACTTTAAAGAGTCCTCTCCTGCTGATGTTCAGGTGTATATCAGTATGTAGTGTCTCTACTTTAAAGAGTCCTCTCCTGCTGATGTTCAGGTGTATATCAGTATGTAGTGTCTCTACTGGGACATGTCTCCATGCTTTAATGTTCAAAAAGCGCTGCAGCACCTCTTTTCACCCTCTGTCTGAAACCAGAGCCCAGTCTGCTCTGACTGGTTAGCTGGCCGGCTCTGTTGGGATTGTTCAACCCCTTAGAGATGTCCCGCCCCTTAGCCTTATCGTGCTAGCCAAAAGAAGCAGGAGTGTTACTTAGTGATGTCACTAAGTCCCTCTGGAGGGAACTTTAGCCTTTGATGACTATTTACATGCACAAAAAAGCAAAATAAGGACTCTTGAAAAGTGACTTGATATAACTGAACACTCCTTTATTTACAGACAAAGTGTTCACCTGCGTCTGCTGCTTCATCGTGTTCAACGCCTTTGACCTGGCCGGCCGCAGCGCCCCGTCTCTCGTCCAATGGGTGAGTCTGCTGCTCAGCTGGGGGAAAACATGCTCTTTGGAGTACAAAGTAAAACATTTGCCTCTGAATTATAAAGAAATACCTAAAGTACCAAACAAAGGAACAAATTCAAAATGATTACTTCAGTATTGTACACAAATATTCATAGACTTAAGTTCCAGACTCCTCTAATATTGCAACATACAGTATACTTGGCACATACCAAGACATAAAGAGAGTTGGAGAGCAGTTTGAGACACGGTCGCCATCTTGGCCACATCAGTACTTTTTAAATGTTCTTTCCACCTCTTCCTCTGCTATTTTTGCGTTTTAAATGTCTAATTATTCCTGTGATGGACTCCTGAATGTTTCTGTATGTGCAGCCCTCGAAGGAGAGTCCTCTGTTTCCCATCTGCGTGTTCTCCCGCCTGGTGTTCATCCCGCTGCTCATGATGTGTAACGTGGAGACCTCGAACCTCACCATCCTCTTCAGTCACGACTGCGCCTTCGTCACCATCATGGCGCTCTTCTCCTTCACCAACGGATACCTGGCCACCCTCTGCATGTCCTACGCCCCACAGTGAGTCAACGTTTGTTGATTTATTTGTAAAATTCACAAGCTGCCCGGCAGTAAATATATTCCTGACCAGCTGCAAGAACTATCCATCCATCCATCTGTCTGTCTGTATGTCTGTCTGTCTATATCTATCCATCCATCTATCTATCTATCCATCCATCTGTCTATCTATCCATCTATCTATCTGTCTGTCTATATGTCTGTCTGTCTATATCTATCCATCCATCTATCTATCTATCCATCTATCCATCTATCCATCTATCTATCTGTCTGTCTATATGTCTGTCTGTCTATATCTATCCATCCATCTATCTATCCATCCATCTATCCATCTATCCATCTATCTATCTGTCTGTCTATATCTATCCATCCATCTATCTATCCATCCATCTATCCATCTATCCATCTATCTATCTGTCTGTCTATATCTATCCATCCATCTATCTATCCATCCATCTGTCTATCTATCCATCTATCTATCTGTCTGTCTATATCTATCCATCCATCTATCTATCTATCCATCCATCTATCTATCCATCTGTCTATCTATCCATCCATCTGTCTATCTATCCATCCATCTATCTGTCTGTCTATACAGATGAAGCGCTCCATTTCAGACGCCTACCCGTGCGGGTCCGTGATCGGCACGGGGTGGGCCCCTGCTGAAAAGGAAAACCCCCCCGCAGGACTTGAAACGCCCCCTTGATAAATACATTTAATTATAATGAAACCAGCTGCAATGGATAATGGATCCACCAGGGGGAGCCGTGATTAAAAAGCTGCCACACTGGAACCCATGTGAAATAAACAGCTGATCTACAGGTATCTGATATGCGGATATTTGTTAAGATCCATATGTCACGGATAGGATCATATTCTGTGCTAAATAAGAGACATGTAATCATTTACTAAACGTCCCCATGTTTTTATTTAACAAAATAATGTTTAATTCACGTTGGCGTAAGTACAAAACCATCGCTATGTTTTTAGATCAGGAAATGCATCCAGGCTCAAACAAACGATTTTCAATCATCATCCTCACGATCATTTAATGTATCATATGTTCGCGAGTTGAAATGAATGCACTAAATTTAATCCACGTGAGTTTACAACAACAAAAATAATCGCTTTGTTTTTATATCACATCCGACCGGAGGAAAATGCAGCACGGGTCTCACTACCGATCATCCTAATCCCACGGGCAAACAATAATATGTACAGTGTTAATAGTGTACTGTATTATTAGTATTATTAGTGTCTAATATTACTGGGGATTTCGGAATGGTAGCCTACTGGATTTTGATTTATTGTATCGGCTTCATATCGCAATATATTCCCGAAGTCTGAAATGCAAAAATGTCCCACATTAGGGCAATTCACCCTACATTTAATCATTCATACAAAATCATATTTCGTTTATTTTTAACGAAATAAATGTGGTGTAATCCACATAATTTACTGTGTTAATTGTTTACTGTAGTATTGTGCACATTACTTGTCGCTGCTTGTTGCACCTGGTTAGAAGCTAAACTGCATTTCGTTGTCTCAGTACCTGCAATATGTGCAATAACAATAAAGTTGAATCTAATCTTGAGCAGGAACAAATGTATTTAGGCTACTTAGTACATATCTGACATAAACGATTAAACACATTTGTGCATTCTTTAAACCGAGTCAAGCCGAGTCCGGAGGTGGCGGCACATTAAAGTGTGCACCTGATTGTTTAACTTGAAGGTGCCTGATGACATTTAATCATTCAAACTAAATCATATTTCGTTTATTTTTAACGAAATAAATGTGGTTTAATCCACATAATTTAGGCCTACTGTGTTAATTGTTTAGTATTGTTTAACTTGAAGGTGCCTGATGTGAACATTTCCAGAAGAACTCTAGCTTGACTGGCCTTTGTATGTATACAGTAGGCCTAACATAGGCGGCGCGTGAGGCTCAGGTTTGGGAAGGCTAAATAACTTTTTTTTTCATCTTACGCTGCCCGCCTCCGGCGTCTATAGAAAAGAGATCAACTCAGTGAAAGCACCATCTGCTGACCGATCAGAGCTCAGTGTGCGGAGTTTAAATCTATCAAGTCATATTACAGGAAAAAGGAAATGCAGTTCAAACTGCCGTATGCAGAGAAGACGCCGACGTGTCGCACGTATCATTCATATCACACTGACATCACATCATCAATCAGATCATCGATCTCACAATATTTCCTTATCTGAGTCAGCTTCTCGAGCCGTATCTGGCCGTACAACACTTAGTTACATTGTCACATATACTGTATGCAGACGTATTATTTTAAGCAACACATTAAGTTGACGAAACACTCAACTCAAATGTAATAAAGTCAGATCCCCTCGTGTTTTAGATGGGGCAGTATAATTAAACTGTTGTACGCTTTCAAACACTCGGTAGTTTATTTTTTAACGAGTTGTTCTGTATTCACCTTGCAGGTGCAACTATGTGGCTTGTATCCTGGATTATATGTTTAAGTCATCATGGATGTTTAAAGTTCATATTTGTCTAATATTAGTTTACTTTTCATTAATGAAGTATGATGTTGCGCTGTCAGTACACTTGTCCCTGTTTGTGATTGGTCAAATGTAGCTAACTCCGCCCCTTTCACGTGAACGCGCTCTCAGCTGGAGAGAGAAACCCTGGCTTGATTTACCGAGTTGATAACCAGCGCCGTAGGACCGTTTAGCGAGATCTCGTTTGTTAGGGTTAGTTAAGATAACTCAAACATATCCAGGGTCTGTTGAACTGGCTTCGTGGTACAGGGCACAGGTGGCTGCATAGCAGCGCTAATGTCAAAGACATTATATATTTATTTTACCAGGATGCAGTTACACAAATATTTTGGAAGGCTTAGCCTTTTTTCCCGTCCAAAGTTTGAATTGGATAAAGGTAATGGTTATCGATGGTGCTTTTATAGCCTATTGTATAATAACTGTGTGATTTATATTGCTTTTCAAATGCATATGGCCACCCATTTACACTGCTCTTCCCGTCAAGAATATGAATAGAACTTAGTTAGATCACTTTACATTTCTGCAAATTAATTTTTAATCACACACGTCTCCCCGTCCCGAAAATGATAAATAAAATAAAAAGAGGAAACCATTTTCAAGTTCAGTTTTCAACGTTTTATTTAAAATGACTGACATAACAGACACCATACAGTAGGCCTATCTGCTGCGGAAACCAGGACGAGCTATTTCGGGATCTGTTTTTCGGGGGCTCCTCAGTCTCTCATTTACCCGGCTCCTGGGGGGTATACTACGAAGCAGGATTTTCGCTTAGCCGGCTAAATTCAGGGGAAACTCCGGCTTTCCGGTCCTACGAAGCTGGTTCTCTTTTTAGCAGGCTAGATCTCCATGGTAACTTATGCTAAGCGGCTAACCTGGTCGGGACCAGGTTAGGTTGCAGGCTAAGAGCTCAACTCAGTGAAAGCACTGCCTGCTGACCAATCAGAGCTCAGTGTGCGGAGTTTAAAGCGATCAAGTCATATTACAGGAGAAAGGAAATACAGAAAAACTGCCATTGCAGGAAAGACGGCCGGCAAAAATCGCCGACTGTGTGAACGTGAACATTAATAGAATATCACCTCCATCTTCAGAGCAATCTGACTATTATAACATTAGCGTTAATAAAGCTTACTTAAATATCTGCCACAACATAAGTACACTGAGTGCAGACGATGTGTCCCATTATCATTCATATCACTTCATAATGTATCATATTTTCTTATCTGAGTCAGCTGAGCCGTATCTGGCCGTGCAACACTCACAGCGTCACATACTGTATGCAGAAGTATTATTTTAAGCAACACATTAAGTTGACGAAACACTCGAGACAAATGTAATTAAAGTCAGATCGTGTCTTAGACGGGGCAGTGATATCATAAACCTGTTAATGTACGCATTCAAACACTTTTTCTTTTGCCAGCTGTATTCACCTTGCAGGTGCAGCTCTGTGGCTTTGATCCTGGATCAAGTGTTTAAGTCATGGATGTTTAAAGTTTAACTTCTTCATATGTCTAATATTAAAGTTCACTTTTCATTGAGGAAGTATGACGCTGCGCTGTCAGTGCGCTTCTCCATGTTTGTGATTGGTCGAATGCTCCAGATACCACCCCTTTCATGTGAACGCGCACCTAACTAGATAGGAAACGGCTGGCTTGAGCGATCCACTTGATAACCCGCGTCGTAGTACAGTTTAGCGAGAGCGCGTATGTTTTGGATTAGGCCAACCGGCTAACTCAAACATATCCAGGTTAGGTTGAACCAACTTCGTAGTATAGGTCCCTGATTAGGACACATCCTTGGGATTGTGTTTACAAACATTGACCAGACCGTTCACCAGCCCCCACCCCCCATGTTGCCCATGCTGTCCTGTGTTGCGAACTCTTTGTTTAAAACGAATTGGCCATCGGAATGTGTGGAGGAATTCTCCCAAGGGTCACATTCCACAGCTCTCCCCCCCCCCCCCACTCCTGTGATCTCCCATCCCCCAGTCTGTAGGTTTGTGTTTGCATATTTCTATGCCGTAATTCCTACTGGTCCTCTCACGCACATACATTCTCCTTACAGTATACATACATAGGCTATATGAGTCCGTGTATCTACGGACCATTTGTTTTTCTTTATTAAAAAAGTAAACGGAAGAGCGTCTGAGATGCGTTTTTGCCCTTTTGCTTGTTACCTTACTAAATGGTCTAATGGTCAGTGGAGCGAGGGGGGAGGCCCGCGAAACTCGCGGAAGTGATTTCAAAACAAAAAGCACTCGTTTGCTTGGAACAAAGAAAACGGCCAAGACACACATTGAGTCCAGAAAATGAATGTTATTAAGGGCTGTAAATATAATAAGCCTGTGTCTAAAATTGACAACAGGCTTATTATATTTACAGCCCTTAAGATACACTTTTGTGTTTAACAGCTGACCACTACCATGACATACTTTGTTTTAGTAGATTTCGCATGAGAGCAAAATGTATAAATATGAGCATTACATTATATGAATATGAGAACAACATGCATGAATGTGTGAGTGACAATATATGAATGTGTGCATTTAAATATGATAATATGAGAGCAAAATGTATGAATGTGTGAGTATATATACGTGTGTGAGAGTGAAAATGTATGTATGTAAAAGGAGAATATATGTGTGTAAGAGTGAAAATGTATGTATGTAAAAGGAGAATATATGTGTGTAAGAGTGAAAATGTATGTATGTAAAAGGAGAATATATGTGTGTAAGAGTGAAAATATGCTGCATTTTGAATGTCCGATAGTCCACCATTTCCACCGGAAATATCAAACATTTAATAAAAGTGAAAAACAATGAACAAGACTTAACGTATTCATCATAATTAATTATATTTATTTCGTTTGGATGTAGGATTTTTGACTTTGTTTAGAGCAGTGATCTTCTACTATATGAACATTTTGGACCCAAAATCACAAAAAAAACGTAAAAACAGATTTTGAAAATGATATTATTTTTCATATGTAACACAAACATACACAACGAAACCATTTAAAAGCTGGAAATATATACATGGGATGTCACTATGATAATGTGAAAGTTTGATTGAGGTAGCATGGGATTTTATTCTGATAAGGCAAAGGTGTTATTATAAATATAATACAAATATATATATATACACATTATGTACAAAAATCTGTCTTTATCTGTGCCACGCTTCAAAGCGGTTTCTGTCGACACAGAGGGCAACATCACAGGTTCCTCCTCCTCCATGTCAAAAAACAAGCTTAAAGCTTGACTCACGTTCAGAGTTCTCTTCATCATAGTTGAATCTTCAAAACTCTAAATCTATCTAACTATATCTAAATTCTCAATGTTTGTCTGTCACTTTACTTCAATCCAGTCTCCCGCCGTCTCTCTTCGTCTCCCGCCGCCTGTCTTCGTATATCTTCGTCTCTCTCATTTCCCGCCGTCTCTCTTCAGTTCCCGCCGTCCCTCTTCGTCTCGTTTCGTATCACTCCGTTTACCTGATTACCTCACCCCCTCCCTGGTAAATACATCCTGTTGAGCAGAATCTACAGTTTCCAGTATTTTCCGTTTCGTAAAATTATCAAATACGGCGAAGATATTAAAATATGTGCTTCCATTATTCATACTTCTGAAATATAGCTGTATTAACTTTATATCATCGTATGTCCGTGTTTATTTGTGTCTGTTTATTGGGTCTTTTTGCATGAAACAAAGACTGGCATATAGTTTCAAGCCAGTACTTTCGACAGAAATACACATATACATCCTGTTGAGCAGGATCTACAGTTTCCAGTATTTTCCGTTTCGTAAAATGATCAAATGCGGCGAATATATTCAAATATGTGCTTCCATTTTTCATACTTCTGAAATATATTAACTTTATATCATCGTCTCTCCGTGTTTACTGGGTCTTTTTGCATGAAACAAAGACTGGGATATAGTTTCAAGCCAGTACTTTCGATAGAAACACACGGCAATGTTGTCCGGACTGTTGTTATTATGCGGCACAGGTCATGTGATCTGATCACGCCGGCGTGACGGTTGACTCCAAAGGGTTAATATTAAATACATATAAGTATTTTTACAACTTGTATTTAGAAATACTCTGTTGTAATTATTGATGCATAAATGTGTTCATCCATTCAATGTGGCATCTGCTATAATGGGGTTAATGTATGATATTACTTAATAATACAATACATTATAATATATGTTATGATAATTATATTTTAGTTTTATTCATTTCTTATTTCATAGTTTCTCATTATTATTATTTTTATCACTCATCTTATTTTTGATTTTATTAATCTGTGTGAATCTGTGCTGTCCTGTTTTTCACTCTCACCCTGTTGCTGTTTGAACTACTGAATTTCCCCACGGGATTAATAAAGGTCCATTTTATCTTATCTTAATGTATAAATTGATTTACTTCAATCTACTGTACTGTGTAAAAACACCCCAACAATATTACAAGAAATATACTGCATAAAGCAAACTATATACTTTATTTGATCTAAAATATTGATGTTTTTTCATTATATGTATTTTGTGAATGAAGCGCCATCTCATGGTTAAATCCTGTAATTGAACAAATGGGGAAATTGGGCAACGCCCTCTAGCAATTTGGCAACACCCCCAGCCGCTGGCATCCGCTGGGCTTTTGACCCACCTGAGTCTGATCTGGAGTGCTTCATCTGTATCTATCTAACTATCTATCCATCCATCTATCCATCCATCTGTCTATCTATCCATCTATCTATCTGTCTGTCTATAATCTATCTACAGGAAAGGGAGAACCCCAAAGAGCAGAATGGGGCCTCTTAAACTTTCGAGTTTCCCTTCATGTAGTTCATGTATTAACAGTGTGTGTGTTCTTCAGGTTGGTGCGCTCTAAAGACTGCGAGACGGCCGGCTCTCTGATGTCCTTCTTCCTGGTTCTGGGTCTGGCTCTGGGAGCGTCTCTCTCCTTCCTGCTGGTGAAACTGGTTTAACCACCTGAGAGATCAACAAGAAGAAAAGTCAATAGCAGTCTTCCGTACGTACGTGAGATTAATTTAAAATCTTAATTTAATAAATATCATTTAGGCATAGCTCCTAAAATAAAACTGTTTATAATTTATAAATTGATAAGTTCAAGTAAAAAATTGAAATGATATAATAATAATATATGTTATATACATTTAGTTCATGTAAATGAATAATCTCTATTCATTCAATGAAAACACTTGAATGTAAGTTTGATAAACCACAATATTAATTAAATAATCACATTTGCACTTGTTAACTGTCGTATCAAATGCATAACGTTTGTTCGGTGTGAACAGGAAGGCGGTTTCAATGTTGAAGGACAGCTGAAAATAAAGGACATAGATTTGTGGTTAAAATGTTGCTGCAACAGCAAAGAAATATGAAGACAAATGTATTTATTTTATTTTATTTTTCTATATTAAAACATTCGAGTGAATGCCATTAAGTCAACTTCTACCTTTTGCTTGCAGTTTTTTTCTGTTGTAACTTATCTTTTAATGTATGGAAATGTAGCTGAAAGTGTTTTTTCAACTCTGTCTAATGTATTTCATGACACTGCAGGTGTTTGTCATTTTCTATAGATGGAGTTGTTGTTTGCTTATTTATGTTTTTTCTACTCTGTTATTTTTATACAAACAAATAAAGGGGATTATGTGTGTGCTTTCATAATAAAATATACAAAATTGTCACTGTTGTTGTTTCCTTGGGCCTTGGCCTTTCTTTTGGTTAACAGGCTTTCTCACATGAGTCAAAGAGCTGACCTTAAAGGGCCCATGTCATGCTTGTAAATGCTTGTAAACGGTCTGCAGTCACTAACCCTCAAAGTACACCCTGTCTATGCTGCCCCAGAACGCCTCGTTGGAGATTTCTCTTTTTCCATTTCTTCCGCGGTTCCCGGAACCAAAATGGACCAATCCGGAGCTCCTCACACACCAAGACCTTTAGCGTACATTTTCAACTAACAGGGAGTCCCATTGACTTGCTCCCTGGTTGGTAATAGACGAGTTGGCATCGTGGAGAAATGCTCTCCGCAGACCCGTTCTCACAGCGTTATAAACCTTTTTCTTACTCAATATCAAACCACACTTATTGATTTTGCTTCGGCTGTGAGTGTTTGTGTGTGCTCAGGATGAGTTTCGCTGTGTCTCTGTATCGCCGACCCGGAAACCACACCAGTAAGCCAGCTCACTGAGCAGCGGGCCTCGCAACGTCCCGACCAATCAGAGCACACTGGGCTCACAATTAAATAAAATACAAATATAGAAAAATAATCTGCATACATATTTTGACAGTTTTCTGTATTTTCTTTATTTTAGTATTTAAAAGGTTAAAGGTCCCATGTCATGCTTTTCCGGGTTATTACTTGTCCCCTTGTGTGTTATGTAGCTTGTTCTGCATGTAAACGGTCTGCAGAGTCACACCCTCAAAGTACACCCTGTAGCGAGTAAAACTAACACAGAAAATACCTGTTTATGCTGCCCCAGAACGCCTCGTTGGAGATTTCCCTTTCTCCATTGTTTACTTCTTGGGTATAGTGACGTAACGTCGTTACGTTTGGACCAATCCGTGGACTTCCTCACACACACACTCGGCGGGACGTTGCAAGGCTCGCTGCTGCGAGGAGTGAGACACTGAGCTGGCTCACTGGTGTGTGGTCGGCGAGACACCGCGGAACTCAGCCTGAGCACACACACAAACTCCCAGCCAGGCTGCGGGTGTGTGTGTGTTTGTTTCGGGCTAGGTTCCGCTGTGTCTCGCAGACGGCCACTGGGCTCATATGGGGGGGGGGGCAGGAGCTCCAGCAAGCCGTTTAGGACAGACAATGAATACACATACTATACAGAGATGCTGTATGAGAAACCAATGTGAGTTTGGAACATTGCACAATGTACATCTATTTTAGTAGACCTCAACAATGGAATTATGATCAGTAGAAATGGCCATGACATGGGACCTTTAAGATCAATTAGACATTTGTTTATGAGCTGTTGTAACTTGAGCAGTGGCGGCCGGTAAATACAGTCAGAGAGATTATTACATTTTGGCTAAATATTTTAAATTAGCGATTCATATTTTTCTTTGGAAGCATGTGGCCTCTGTTGTTTCCTCTTCCTCCGGCTCAGCCCTTTCCTCTGACCTCGTGCTTCCTCCCATTCTCTTACTCTCTCCACGGGAAATGAAAAGGAAAGTTGCTACCAGACAAGTTTTTGTAAATGAAATTAGAAAAACAGGGAAAATCTGTACTTAAAATAGAGAAGTTGAAGAGAAAGCTCCGTACCTCTGCTGCAGACTGGTAAGGTGAGTCTTTTTGGAGGTGATACTTCTCTGGATTACTGAGCATTCTTAAATGAAGTTATTGTCAACCTCTAACGTGATACCTACAATTGGTAGAATTAAAGAAGCTTACCTAACGTTATTTAAAACAAGAAAATACTTAAGGAAGTAAAACCAACCTAAAATGATTCCTCTTGAAAGTCCTTCGTTTACAATCTTAAGTAAAAGCATGTATCGGCTAAATGTACTTAAAGTATGGTATAGTTTACTCAACAGCAATGCATAATATTCTGTAAGGTCCTCATATTTAAGCTTCTCAGTTTTGTGACGATGCATTTTCCAACAGATCCAAGAGGCTTTTTAAATAGTTTATTTAGCTAAACGAGTGGGAGAATTTTCTGAACAAATGAAGAAACACTTATTTGCGCTGTCAGAAAATGTGGTTGTATTTGCTTCTGAAATGTAGTCAAACATAACATGGATACTCAAGTAGTGTATAAGTACCTTCAATGTGTAGTAAAGTACAATACCAGATGTAACATATCTAACCTTCCACTGCTTCAAAGTACTGGTGATAGTCTGTATGTAATATTATTGCAAACAAACAAAACACATGAAAACTCCCAAACCAAAAGCGAAGTTTTACCAAAGTTATCCATACCACCAGAGTAAACAGCTGTGTGAACTCTGCTCTCTATTATCAGACATATAGGTGAATAAATACACTGTCTGTTTGCTTTTACACAAACCAAATACTTGCTTGTCATTTTTAGAATACATTATGAGCATGTGAAACCTAGGAGTTAATTAAGGTTGAAGGATTCACTTTTTTGTTGCAGCAGCAGGTTATCAACGCTGTGCACATGAGTTAAACAGTATACTGTACCAGTGGTGTAGTGGGGATTTTTTTGTCACTGACACACCCCCAGCTCGCCGCGGGGTCACGAGCGTGATGACGAATCATCATTTTTTAAGAAAATCGTTTTTATTTTGTATTATAATTACTTACTGTGAAATGTATTATGTTTTTGTCATTATTACAACAAATACACACTTGCAACTGATAACACTGGCAATGATTTTATATTTATTAGACTATTGAAAAAAAGATCATGCTCCAAATAAGTGGGGGTACGGCATACCCCCGCGTCCAACGCCCACTACAGGTCCACTACTGTACATATCAACGGTACACACATACATCTAGAATACACCATTTCAAATACAAGGGTTACCCGAATATACTATACCAAACTAATGCAACTAACATTTAAAAATAGTGTTTTGTATTCATTATATGCAAAGTATTTTTATTTATTGTTTTGAAACTTAAAGGTGGGGAAGGTAAGTTTGAGAAACCGACTCGAGATACACTTGTTATATTCCATGGAATGCTCTTAACATCCCGAAAGCAATGAATATCTTAAGTGCTTTGATAAAAAATCCATAAAAAATGTCATCTGTGGAAGCCGTAGTAGGCTACTGTAAAAAGCACGACCAATCATCTGAGCCGGCCCGGCTAAAGTAACTGGATGGCCTACCTGCCTGTCAGCCTTCTATCTGTGCACAAACTTATCTCGTGCCCTCATTGGTCATGTGCGCGTTCGTGTGTGTGTTGGAGGAGGGGCTCTGTGAGGAAGTGGCAGATTTGTTCCGGTTCTGTATTTTCAAATTCTAGCGCACTCGAGCTGGTTTCTCCAAAATTACATACCCCACCTTTAAATCAAAATCACAAATACTTTAATGAACACAGGGGAAATAGTTTTGTTGTGACAGTTGTTCCATTATAATATGAATTAAATTAAAAGATAAATAATATGTATAACAAAGAAGTCAGAATGTGCAGTAAAAGATCAAATAAACATAATAATTAAAGTAAAAATGTTCAATAAAAGATCAAATAAGACGTGTAAACATAAGAATTCAATTAAAAAGTCAAATACAAGTCGAGTACCAGCATATAGCCTAGTGTGAGTTAAATTTAAAGTTATTTAAAGATCAAAGGTGTTAAAACACTTTTGCTCAAAACAAACGCTTTTATATGTTTTGGTTTTGCCTGCAGTCACGGCCTCACAATGAGCTCTTGTTATTGACCTAGAGAAAGGCATGCAGAGGGCAGCTGATTAACAGAGCAGTGTGTGTGTGTGTGTGTGTGTGTGTGTGTGTGTGTGTGTGTGTGTGTGTGTGTGTGTGTGTGTGTGTGTGTGTGTGTGTGTGTGTGTGTGTGTGTGTGTGTGTGTGTGTGTGTGTGTGTGTGTGTGTGTGTGTGTGTGTGTGTGTGTGTGTGTGAGATGAGGCAGGTTGGAGCTTTTTTCCGTCGGAGTGGACGGAGGAATGCAGTCTAACTGGATCTGCAGCTCCTTTTTTTCCCTCTGCTGTTTGATTTTCCTCAGATAAACAAAGATGGCGGACACACGCAGAGTGACAGAGCCGGGCAGAAAGGTGAGTTTAATTCAAACACACCTGAGAAACAGGAAGCAGCTGAGAGATTATGTAAAGTAACAAAGATGAGAGGAAACAGGGGGAGAGTGTTTTTTATGTCAGATTCACTGTTGGGATTAAAGTTTTATTTCTGAGGTGATTATTAAACTAGTTTACTAACTTTTTTAAATAATCTGTTGTCATTGAAACTGCGTCATGCATGCCAGAAGAGAAACTGCAACGTCCGGTCATTGTTAACAAAATAAAAGCTCTGTTTGCATACTTATCTGGCAGCTTTTTTAAATATATCTATGAAGTAATGATACAAGAATCAAATAAATTAAACTGTTCGAAATAAAGTATGTTTTCTTGGTGCTAGTTTATTTATTATTTTTGACACATCGAGTTACAGTGAAAAGTTTGTTTTGAAGGAACCCTCTGAACTTTTGGGGATTTGCCGCAGCACGTGATGGTCACTCACAGGACATGTGATGTCACGCAGTTAATTGAGTTTGAGTTGCTAATCATTTCATTACGTTTTTTCCTTCTTGTGAAAAATAGTTGACACATTAGGAATAATATTTGCACAAATAAGCATACACGTAATGTATTTCTAAAAAAATGTAAATAGAGGAAAAGTAGAGGAAAATATGTTTCATACATTCACCAGTTTGTTTTACTTGATATTGGGGTTACGGATTATGTGTGGTAAACATAACATAAACAGATTAAAATGTACCACAAAGTTAATTCAACTGTTTTGAGAATATATTAAAGGGGACCTATCATGCAAAATGCACTTTTGTATGTCTTTTATACATAAATATGTCCCCCCGGTGTGTCGGGGTACTCACACAGCGTCAGAAAATAAAACCCTCACTCTTTTCCTCCATACCCAAATCTTTTAAAAACAGGGGTACAACGGAGCTGATCCAGATTTGCTGCCGATATGACGTCAAATTGGCGGTGGACCCACAGAGAGTTGCTATCAGAA